AATACTTAACAGAAACACATTTCGCTTTTTAGTAAAATAAAAAAGCATGAATTTTTTATGACTCAAAATCATAATATTTGAGGTGCCAAGTACTAGTTGCCAGCCTAAAAAATTTAAATATATCATATGCTATATGTATAGAAAATAGTGATTTAATCATGCATTTAGTCTTGCCTACTTGCATGAACGTGGTTTTATTGCTTGCAACCAGATTTCAATCTATAACTTTTTTATAAGAATCACTGAATCTGTTTTAAAGGAATATTTTGGTAAGTATGTGATGTTCTCGAGGTTACAAGTGAGGAAATATACGTTGTTTAGTTGGAAAATGGACATGATTAACGAGCATGGATTGCTGCTTGACCAGCTTGTTTTGTGTTTGTCTTTTTCTTCTAACACAATAACCAGGAATTAAGGAAAATCAAGTTTCATCCTCAGACAAGAGGTAACGTGGTGATATTTCACATTCTCCCCACACCCTTTCAGAAAAGACCCCCCCTGCCAGCTGTAACTGAAGCTAACTGAGCAAGTGACACAGACTCTGAGAGGTTTAGATTGCTAGGCCCGTTTACAGTAGCCAGCTGGTTGGGGTACTGGGTAATGCGGGGGGGCTTTTTCTCTTGGACTTGTTAAATAAACCTTAAGGATAGAGAGTTAGCATTATTTTGAGATAATAAATATAGATTGGTGAAGAGTGGTGGTTCTCAAACTTGATGGTCTCAGGACCCTGACTGCCTGACTCAACAGAAAAAAACAGCTAGATTCTCATCTGTTTCTGTATTCATTCTGTTCTGATATCACACGCTGGAAAACTCCACAGTATGCTCTTGAGAATGAGACTAAAACAGGCAAATAACATTATTATGAAAATAGTCTGGCCCTCACGGACCCCATGGAAGGGTCCCCAGACCAAAATCTGAGAACCACTACTGTAGCATAACTACTGTAGCATAATATGCTACTACTGTAGCATAAGAAAGCCAGCTCTCTAAACCCCACTTAACTCTGTATTATCTCTTGATGTCATTATTTTCTCAGAAAAAGTAGATTGATTTTTATTTGTTCTGTACTTTGTTTTTCAGGTAAAGAAGGAAAATTCAGCCAGCTAATTTTGTTTTTGGCTTACTGCTGTCCTGGTCAGAAGAAATTATTGGAGTAATTGTTAAATTACCAAAGGCGGCAAGACATTTGTAAATTATCTTACAATAAAACCTTACAATAAGAAAACCGCTGTCTTTCTTAGTATATAAGAACAGTT